TTCGATATTTTTGCTCTGAAAATTTTATCGATTTGCGGAAGTTTCAAGAAAAAGTTTTCCATTATCGGCTATGTGCTATATCGTGTTGAAAGAAGGAGTACAGGCCACGGTGCTGTATAAATATGCAAAAAATATTGAAAGTAACCGCAAATAATCAGAAATAATGACCACTGGGTATTTGTTCAACATCAAACATCAGAAAAAAACTGAATGAGTTTCAAGAAAAACTGGCAGAAAAACCTTCAGGGTGTTGATATTGTTGACAAAGCTAATCTGCTGGAATCCAATGTCACTTCGTGCTACGGCAATTTGCCACCGATCATTCACAGTGACATAATATGGACTGTTACTGTCATCGTCATTTTCCGAGGAATTCGGGGCAAATAATTTCACATAATCTTCAAATCCTGAAACCTTTAAAGCAGAAGCCTATTTTATTATCAGTGCAAAATATTTGCTGCTAATGAACGTCAAGAAACAAGTATCTTGGCACATTTGCGCCTGGCTTGTCCCTGTAATCCCAGATATGAAACAACACCGAATAAGTACACGGATTGTTTGGGCCATCTCGATAGTCCTTGGACAGAAATTTCAAGGGGGAAACATCTGACTTTTCATATCAAGTAGATGCTTAAGTAAATGCGCTTCAGTATAAAACTCCCTCAGTATTTACCCTCTGCAAAAATCAAAGGCATTCGACGCAACTCGGCTGATAATATATGCCGCATGTAATCACTCATTGGCAAAATTTCCAACGGCTCCTTGTTCCGAGAGTGCTCAGAAGCGGTTTGCTCGGACGGTTTAACCTTGTAAATACTAGTAACAATTTACCACAGCACCATTTTTTTTTTTATTTTTTTGAATATTAACAGGTGCGAATTCTCCCTTATGATGCCTCTGATTCATTGAAATATCTCTTTTTGGATTGTTCTATTTCAGGAAATCGAAAAAAAAAAAAGATTTTCTTTTGTCTTTTTGTTCAAAAATTTACTGTGTTTACTCTATTTACTCTGTCTCAATAGCGGAATAAATATATCACAACTTCTGAACAAAAAGGCGAAAGAAAACCAGTGAGCGAATTTCACAAGTTGAATTATCAATTTACCTCGACTTTGGTACCGTTCAGGAAGACGTTTACGCCGTCCAGAGTGCCAGCGACATCGACAACTCGCCGTATCATCACGTCCACTGTATTCGAGTCCAGGCTGGTCAATTTAAATTTACTCAGGTCTGGTTTGAAAGTAACACAGGTATAGTCAATTGTTTCTGAGCCACTGGCATCCTCGATGACCGGCTCATCCACCTCATTCATGTTGTCGCGCCAGCACTAAAGCAAAGCATCGTTAACCAAAATTGTACAGAGCGTAAAACAGAAAAGATTTAACAGATATAACGAGAGCTGAATGCAATTTAGGCATAAAACAGAGAAAAACCGCCGAAAAAATCTACTAAAACCGTTAAGGATATAGTGGATATGACATGAAAAATTTGTATTTGGAAATATAACTGCTTTTAAATAAGAAATGGCTTGTTACCTGGATCAAATCTGTATTTAAGTATATGAAGTGTATAAAAGAGCACCAAAAGGGAGCGAGACAGAGAGAGAGAGAAGGGAAAAGTATATATTTAATGAGGGAAGGAAAAAAGTAAAGAAAAAAGTGTATAAAAAGTACATATTTAAGGAAAAAAGTACAATTTAAAAGTACATATTTATATAATAAATATCGAAAAAAAGTAAAATGTCTCGATCAAATACGGCGTGATAATTTTGTTAAAACATTGAAACGAAAGTAAAAGGCTAGTCCGGTTACCGTTCTGAGGATGATAAACAGCAAATGGTCCGCTTGACCAGCAATGATAAACAGCAAATGGTGGAGCGGGTCATCGAATTGTACCCATAAGGTAACAAAAAAAAAAAAAACGCTGGAACAGTAATCGTTAAGATTTCATGTGATGTTACGAAGATGAGAGAGACTCAAAATAGATTATGAAGAAACTGTCAGCTGCACAAACAGTGGAAAAGAATGAAACAGTAACTAATCACAGTACTAATATATTTAGTTATGGAGAACTGGAAATTAAAAAGGGGAAAGATTTCAATGGTTTCGATTCAAGAATAACGCAAATAAACTCAACGGGAATTGTTAGTTATGTTCAGAAAGCTTGACAGCAATAATTAAAGCGATATTGTTGGCTTACTTGAAAGAAACGCAATCCTGACTGCTTCGAGCATGTTTCCACCGAAAATTCTGTACTGAAAATATTGCACAGCTTAGCACCAAATCCATTTCGGCCACCTGGAAAATCCCAGAAATTTAATGCTTTTATATGCTGAGAATTTGACAATTTCCCTTTTTATCATTACAGACTCAAGAACCTCACATTTTAACAAATACAAGGAGCACTGTAAAACTTCAAATCTTGAAACTTCTCGCATGAATAGCCAATATTTTATCATTCCATTTGTTGCGCCTTTTTTTTTCCTTCAGAAAAAAGGAAGACAAAAACTTACCAACAACC